GTGATGGCTGGAGCAGAAGGTGTACCAAAGGGGAGCGCCGAGGACGTCGCTCAAGAGAAGAGAGGAGCAGTGTAGTGCTTTGTTTATGCGACTATCTGACGTTTGGCGAGCACTTTAGGACTTGTCTGGGCCCTGTACACGTGGGCTGGCCTTCGGGCCACGCTCAGGCCCCATTTCTCCTATTGCTTTCGGAATACGTGTATTCAACCTCACTTATGCCTTCTACTACCCCATTGGAAGTCTCGGGGCGCTATATTTCCGTTTCTATACTATCAAGACAAACTTATACGCATTATATGTATCACAATATAGACACACCTACCTTTTACACTTTCGGTAACCAAACGGTGATACGATTGCCCTGCAAAGCCAAAATCACTAATAAACCAACTCAAATACTTTTCGTAACATCAATACTATTATTAGAAATTTATTCTGACTGTTGAAATTTTTATTTTATTGGTGCCACAAATATTATTTTGTTTAGATAATCCATCGGGATAACGCCAAGCAGTTGCTTCGGAGGGCGCCTTATCTAAGTACGAATATCGGCTGCTGTATCTTTGTGAATATTCGTATACTTTTAAACCACGGGTTTCCGTTTTATGTACCAATATTGTCGGAAAAATACAGACTTGTTAGTTTTTATGCATCATTTCGAGGCTTTTAAATGTGTACATAGCATGCGGAGCCTATTTGGATGCATGGTAATATTCTATGTTATTGACGAAATTTCGTACGTTAGGTGCTTTTGGTATGCGGGTTTTGAATTGTTTTCACTGTTATGCGCGAACAGTGGCTTTGATAATTTATCAATACTGCAGTTGCATTAGTTTCTTCTATGCTATTATTCCGTAAGTTAGAACTATGGTACTGTTGCGTGCTATAGATTTCATTTTCGCTTAAACCATCTAGCAGTTGCTCAGGTGATTGTTTGTTTCTAGTATGTCTTGTTGAGTCTACGTTACCTGGTTTGGTTTCTAAGTCGAATTTAAATATCAAGGCTATAATTTCGTGATGTCTTCCATTAGTCGCATTCATAATCCTGCCTTATATTCCCCATTGTTGCGTCGTTTTTCTTATCAATAGTATTTTTTGTATTATGCAGGCTGTATGGTTCATTTTAGATACTAATGTCCGGTGAAAAACTTAATGGGATGGTAAGCCTCGTCTGCTTGAATGTTTGATTTGTACGTTCGTCACATACTTATTGTTTTTGTCGGCCCTTGCAGTTATTCTTTGCCTCCCCACGCGACCGTTTAGCCTATTATCCTTGGTTGATAGAACACAATCAAGATCAGTTTTGTGCACAAAGTCGCCGATGCTCCCCCGATTCCCTTGTAGACGAGCGACAGTGGTTCTGGTACTTGTCTAAGCCGTGATTCTGCGTCCATTGATGAAAGCAGTGATGCTCTGCCATCCACTTCAGCCCACCAATTTCATTGCATCACCACCACTGAGGGCATCAGCAATCTTGGAATCGCATTGAGAGTATGTAGTCGCTTTTGGCTTTGAGGAATCTTTTAACTTCTAAATGAATACTTAATATCTTTATTAGCACCATTACTTTTGAAAAGGTCATCAGTTTTACTATCCATTTTGGGCGGTATATACATGTAACTGCATCAGCTTGTTGTAAGTAGGCAATAAAATGGAGCAATGTGTCAGTAAATGTTGACCTAATATTAAGGAATAAATCTTCTGCATCGGGTCGGAGGATAGTGTGCTAGAATCTTTGAATCAGATAGAGTAGTAGTGCTGTTTCACTGGAGATGTGAACCGCAAGCATTCTGAATATGTATGCTTTGAAAGATTTGGTTCCTTGTTTTACTCGATCTAGATTTCAGATGCTGAGGAACGGACAGATGTTCACGATGTATACAATTCCTCAAACAGGATTTTCGAAACTTTTTTTATGGTGAAGTTTCAACAAAGTGTTAGTGGAGTCACCGTTCATGCCCATGCGGATGCAAAAGTAGTTCTCTCGCCTGATGTTCAACCTGCATCCGTCCGTGATCACGGGTATTGTGGCGGTCAACATACTTTCTCGGTGAAGGACGCGGTTATGAGCAGTGGCTGGGGTGATGATGATAGGATTGACGAAGCTATACAGCTCTCTGAGTAAGTTTGTTACCGCTGATTGTTCTCGATTCGTATCACTTTTAACGTAGGGTTGTAATTCATTATGTTGCGAGCTGTATTGCTTTATTGCCTCTGGGATAAATATGGGGCTCTTTAAATTCTTAAAGTCGGACTTGAGAGGACGCAATAATCACTATCATGGCCAAGATAGTTTAGGTATCTTACTGTATGACGGATTATCCTTTTCTCACCCATCTATAAACCGCTTTAAGTGCTCTGTGTGTGGAGATGCTTGCGTATTAAGGTTCATCGATGCCTTAGTAAATTTTTACGTTCACGAATTGGGCGTCCACTCTTGGTAATGTGATACACTGTTTTGAGTTATCAATATTAATCGTGTCGTCTCTGCCGCTTGCCGCTCTTACATTTGTCTGCATGGGCAGATTTCTGTAATTCTAATGTTTCTACGAAAGACTTCATTAACATGGTGTGGGCACACATTACTTTTTTGGGCATCTCGGATGATAGCGCCAGCTGTCAGTACTGGTGAAAGAACGCGGTTACGTACAGTCTTCGTGACAGAATCCCCCGAATCTTTCTCGGGACATTGGTGGTGGTATTAGAACTCTACGTTCTCATCTACCCACATGCAAATGCGTCCAACGTGGGGGCTATTTACGAATTAACGCATAGTAGCATGCTCAATTAAAGCAGCCTGCCTACGCGCGCATCTCATTTGGAGTGTCTAGGTCTTCGCTTTACATTGGAGGTCGCAGCTACGATTGTATTTCGAGCAGGAATTGCAATAATACAGCTCCTATTTATAGCCATAAAGTTACTGATAGTTTCAAATGGAAAGGTTGTTACATTAATAGGATAGAGCGCCAAGTGGTTGATCGGCTAATCTCACTGGGCGATACCATTGAACAGCATTGTGGAGAAGAGATTGACAAACTTCTTACCAGTCTCCGGGCCATCAAATCACCAACTGAGACCCTTCGTAAAATTGCTGAGCTGTGAGTACTTCCATTCTCCCTTCAATTATTCCTTATTTTTGGCATCATTTTACCAACTCTACCGCACCTAGTGTTTTCAAGGAAGCCCAACTGAACTGGGGTCGCATCCTTGTCTTTTTCTACTTCGTTGTCCGCTTCTTTCTGCGCTATGCGGCGGAACGCCTAGCACAGGGTCTTGCCAATCTCGCCTCCATAGTTGCCAACGCTCTCAAGGATATCTGCACTGTTCGAATCTTCCAGTGGATAGCTGATCATGGTGGTTGGGTATAAAACGATTTTTAAGTTCCTTTTTGAAGCTTTTGTTTTTCTCTTTCTTGATTCATGTCTAGGACACCCCTTATGTTCACTCATCTGCATTTTTGGTGATCATGGTGTAGTCAGGGCTTTAAGATCATTTATGGACCGGGATCGACGACTATGCATTGAGTTGCATTTGAGGCGGTTGCAATGTCTTCATTATTCACTGTTTTATTCTCACTTTTTGTGTAATTTAGAATGATTTGAGTGGATTTTATGGCATCATCGCTGCTTGCAGAACTGTTCGACCAAAGTCAAAAGCATATTGTGTGGAACGTCACTAAAGTAGCTTTACTGTGTGTCGACACCTTCAAGAGCTTGTCATTAATGGCGTGTAAACGGATATAAAATCAACTTTGCTGCCGGAACTTTCTTTATTTTAGCGTCGACTTACACCTATTGGAGGCGCACGAGTTGTGAGCTTTGATCCTTTCTTGTCCTCGTTAACTTTCATTATCCTTGCCCTCGGCACAGCATTTTTCCTGGGTCGGGCTCGAGTCTTCTTTTGAGAACTTTGCGATTCATTTTATCACCCCATCTTCATCTCTTCCACCTTCCGAGTGCCTAGAATCGTCACCACCGGCTTGAAATTATGCTTTTTTAAATTGGTCTTTTGTCCGTCACGGTTTTGGACTTTCATACCACTTTTTTTTCGTATGGCCGCTTCCCTTCTTTTTATTGGTGTATCTGAAGTAAGATTTGCTCATTTAAATAAAAATTGGACATCATTTTTGCCTTATGAAATTGGGGTCTAATTTAGCATCTGGATGTGGCCTGCCATTATGTGTGAATCAGTGATTCCGTTCTCGCAATAGATGGGCTGAGTTACCGCCGCACCCTAGGATTGCACGGCATGTAAGCATTCACGTAGCATTTATGATTACGAGGTAACGGAAATGGGATTCTCTGGATGGCATATTCGAAAACAATCAGTCTTGATGGGATGAGATTGTTGACTTAAAATTTGTTAGGTGAGCTTTCGAAGAGAGCAGGAAATAGTTAATGGCTTCGTGATGACAGTTGAAGCACTTCGATCACCAGGTCGACCAAGTGGGTGTTTACGTCAATCAAATGGTTGTTTACTTCTGGCTGATATGAGGGAACTTTTGGTAATTTCCTTTAAGGCAACTCGTTGGAGTGGTAATTGATGGCTGGCAACTTGTACTTCCGTCGGCGTTACGAATTGCGAGACGCCAGTTGGAACTCGATTCATCTGCTCCCATACACACCAGTGCTGCAAGCATAACAAAGGTTGATAGCTGCCGGCGCCAGTTCACTCATCAGTTGGGCTTTTCAGCAAAAGCGCTGATATAGTGAGGATTCTTTTCCAATCAATAATGAGGCATATGAATGAAGATGCAATTTCAAGAACTTCTTCGCACCAAATCTCCCTGCGCTCGAAATTGGTGTCGGTGTCTAGCTAGTGCATGTGCACGGCTGTACGCATATCGACACCTGCGCATCAAAACAGGGCGTGGTGGCAGACCTCTGTGTCGAAGGTTTTTTGATTTTGGTAAGGATCTGAGTCGATGGAGGTAGGCGCTGCAGGGGGATTGCATCGGGATTGCATGCGTCGGAGTACCTTATATTTTGTAATCTCAAAATGACCTGGCTACCTGACCATAGGAAGTCTTTTGGGTCTCCAAAATTCGACTTATTTTTTTGATGGTGTTGGACCTGGGCAAGATTTGGCACTTTGAGTTACGCTACCTGATTTAGAGTAGGAGCTTAGAAGTGAGAAGACGCACTCCACAAAGTATGGTAGCTTTAAGCTCATTGTCTGGATGCTTCCGTAATGTACCACCATGACTAGTTGCATTCTTATGCAACCTTTGTGCTTCATTTAGCATCTGTCATCAGGAGGGTCAATCGCCAAATGACATCATATTTGTCTGGCTAATGGCATTACTTACACAATAGACTCTTTCAATTTCCGTCTACCTAACAGGGATCACAATGCAATTTCTCCTCATTCCTCCTTTGCGCTTGTTTCCCCTCCCTAAGTAGCTACAAGATCACAGTTAGCACCCCGAAATCCCACCTCCAAAGAGGCACATAGCCGTTTGCTTCCCACCGACCGGATAGCAATAATGCCTCTATATTTAGGCGTTCTCCCACCCATGTTTCTGCTATCCCTATACCTTTAAGTGGCAAATAGAAAAGCGCGTGCATCGATCCCCAGGGGTCGGCAATCTCAGCAACGTTGGTCCATTTCTCTGACCTCTTTCATCCACCAACAACCTCTCAAGCATTAAAAACCTTAACTTCAGTCCCCTTTTGTGTGCAATTTATTCGACACATCCGGATCGTAGTGCAGTTTTCGTTTTAGCATTATTTGGAAGCTGCCTTGTAGATCACTAGACAGCATTACCATCCATCACTCATTCGGTCGATCTTTTGCCTAGTCGCTATGACACAGCTTCTGATGTATGGACAGTATATTTAATCATTAATAGGAACTAATCAAGTGCTGCATAAAATAAGTAGCTATTAATAGTTCTCGACCTGATACTTAATATTTTCCGGTGGTCGACATGGTAGTGTGCCAGCCATAATGTATGCCTCCTCCGCTACAAGGTATTTAGTACTGCAGCTATGAGACAGAGCGTGGAACATATGATGCTGGATCGGATTGAACTCACACAATACTTGATTTTGTCCGTTGAGAGCAGTGGACACAACCACCTGCGCAAGTCTGGTTGCTGAAGCATAAATTCAAGCTGCTAATCACACTGCTCACTTCGAGGCAAGCGGCTAGGTGCTATTACCCAATCCTCTCTACAAATGCACCAGCCTCCATCCTTCTAATTTTTCGCCTAAATGTTTGGCTTCAAAGCCGGAGAGGGAGCCGCCTGTGACGGGTCAATCCTAGTGACAGACGGAGACATGCAGACAGCCGACTGCGCTTCCAGAGCTCATGTTGTGCTTGAGTGCATAGCAACGGCTATAGTAGTGCCGCTTTTCATCGACTATAGCGAGTTAACTAGTTGTTGCAACGGAAAATTTTGTTCATATAGCGAACCGTGACTGTGAATAGCACCTGAGGACGTCAAATTCGAATCTGCTGAAGCCTGTTTATACTTGATAGACGAGTTCTGGTGAAATATCCCTACCAAAAAATAGCATGAGCCAATATTACAATGCGGCGCTTTTCAAAAGTGTTACTGAAAGCATAAAAGCAATTGATCGTATTTAGCTAGCATTCGACCCACAATGGCAATACTAATACTCGAACCGTGTGAATAGAGAGCGAGGGTACAAGAATTCCTCTTCGAAGAAACTCAATGAGTGAATGTAAATTGATTCATCACGCTTACAGAAAACAAATAGAGGAGATTCGTATAACAAAACCAATAATTTCGGCTGTACAGGAAGACGAACAGCAGCAGCTCTAAAGCGACTGAGGAAGAAAGAGAGTGGAGGTGGTATCCGAAGAAGCCGATGCGGACGGGGAGCGTTGCCAGGGCACAATCCGTGAAATCTTGAAAAAACTGTTTTGGCGAGAGGAGCATGGCCTGAAGAGAGCTGAGATGGCTCCTCTCAGACGCAATGCCACCTGATTAATCAGAGTCACTGTGGCCACGCGCGTCGCACAAAGGTGTTGGTGTAACCAATGAAGACATTCTTGTCTATTTATGCGATCGGGTTAGGGAACGTACTTGGCAAAAGCATAGTAATGCGGAGAATCTCATGCAAAGCAGAGGAAACCCCACACAGCAATTCCACGAAAACGGTACCCACCCGTTGCTCCAAACGATAGTAGTGCAATCCTAAGTACTGTCATCTAACTTTTATACTGATGAAAAACTACATTCCGGCTGAGATTTGTACGGAGAACTCAAAATATCATAAATGTTAGTTTGAAATCTCAAAAATTTTTGTGTTACTAAAGTAGTGAGTAGAAAGGATACGCAAACGAGCGATGTGGATATCCACCATTGCAGTAAAACACACAGCAAAATCCATCAGCAACGCGGCCCTCGATGAGGTAGCAACGCGGAACTAGGTGGTGTAGATTGAAGCCTCGGTGCCGATAGAACCGCAATGCAACGTGGTTGGTGCACTCAGTATGCAAATATACTGCACGGCAGGGCATGTAGGTTCGATGCTGCTGCCACAACCATCGAACAAACTTGAACTGATGTGGACTTAAGTGAAGAGTTGATGGTATCTATTTAAAAAATTAACGAATTGTGTCTAGTTGATGCCCAAAATGGAAGCGATATGGCACAGCTGTCATTACTGACGTACGGGTTCATCGGATTCAAGGAGTGGCTGATACTGTAAATTGTTAGTACCAGGATCAGCGCAGCTTGAAAAGTACCGTTGCCTTTTCGCATGATCAAGGAGCACGGAGAGGAGAAGAGAGCCTAGGTGCAGAGAAGGAGCACTTCACATGACCTAACGTTAAAACCAAACGTGGATCAGTGGTACAACTTTAACCCCGTTTTTGGTTATCATATAGCAGTGATCACAGATTTTACAGCCAGTTATTCAGATTATAGATTAATTTTAATGCTCGTCTCGTAAATTTGGCCATAAATTCGTAAAAACTGCAACAATCAATGGGATAAGAATTCAAGTCTGTCAGTCCGAAACTTATCATTGCTATTCAGCAAGAAAACTAGTTTCCAAGTCTTGTTAGTAGATTTCGTAAATATTTAAAGTGCATTATTCAGAGCCCTAGCAACAAGATGAATCTAAATTTGAGTACTGAAGAGAGTAAAAAGATGACGTGACCAAACAAGCCCATATGTTTGATGGTTTCGTTGACTTCATTCAAACTGTTTTACCTTTGGTGGTTTCGAAAAAGAGGAAGAATAGCCAAGTCTATATCTTAAAATTCCCTTATTTTGATGGTCATTAATAAAAGCAATAATAGCAGGTGCCAAATCCATGTATTAAAATTCTATCGCTAACCAACGCCTACAAAGCCTCTCAACATTAAATTGCTGGAGTTGTTTAACGGTCGGTATGCAATCAGCCAACAAGGAGAAGTAGTTACTGAATTAATGAAAATATCCGAAATGAGAAAGTACTAGACAAACCCACCAATGCCACATTTGCGATACCGTGAGGTGACAGCCAAACTAAGGATGTACATTACAACTGAACTAGCCGACAATCTTGGATGAATAATTGTCCGATCCTAGGAAAGGAAAAAGGTTTAAAATGATAGATCGCGAACCAAAGACGATGAGCGAGATGAAGAGTCTCACAGCCACTTTGCAGCTACCGAGAGCGCGATATTCTGCAACTATAAGACCAACAACGCTCCCCTCCTCTCCTCGTACAGCTTCGAACTGACGACAATTAGATAAAGGAAGGCAGGCAAGAAGAGTGAGATAGCGAGTGGTGGAGACTAATTCGTTGTACCACAGATCCGGATAACGCACAGGGAAACATTCCAGGCAAAGGCGTTGAATCGCCCCGATATCAGATGGACGGGCCATACGTAGCTCGATCGTATCGATTGCAACAGACATTTTAGAATGCGTCGCAATTCCAAAAAAAGTTTCAGTAAATCAACGAAAACGAATATGCTTTAGTAACTGCAGAGGGACAAGAAAAACAGAGGCTTGCTACCGCATAGGCTTTTGCTGTGAAAGTAGAGCCTGAAAAAATAATACGGTGTCAAGAAATGATAATTAAATCTGGTATGATGACAGGTGCGGTGATATGTCATCCCATGCACACTGTCATCTACTAGCCAAACGCATTCATAGATTCGGCAAATCACTTATCAATTAAAACTGATATAAATTTAATTAAGCCATCCCCTAAACTAAATAAAAAAACCGTTTCCTTCCACAGTTCATTGTAGCCAGAAAAGTGTTCATCAAGTCTATTCACCCATGTCGTTAACTATTCTCCAATATTTAGTCCATGAATACGACTATTGATTTGCATTTTCATAAAAGCCCTTAACTCATCAGCTCAGTAATGTACCCAAGTTCGTATCCATCACTTATTTCGTATGCGACACCATACTCCCTCATTGACCTCTAATGTGAGTTCTGAAAACTAACCCACCGTTTCGATATGATTGCTCAGACAGTCTCTAGCAGCCGAAAATGACACCACGCCGACTGATCCACCTGCAATTCTTCCGAACGTTGCCCCAGATGGCATCTAGACCCAATTCAGACTATCTTACATCAGATCCCAGCAAACCCAATGCACGCATCCCCACCGACAAACTGTAAGTGCACGAAAGAAGCAATATAAAATGACGGTATATTGTAGACGTGAGACCCAGCTGTCAAGTAAAATGCATACACAATTAGGACAGTCAAGAGAGCACGGACACAATAGAGAATTAGTAGAGGAAACAGAGCGGAGATAAACAACGAATTTCTATCGGCTTATAGTGGCAGAAGGGGAAACAGGAACAGGCGCGAGAGGCGGAGGCGAGGAGAGCGGAGGAGACTCAGCACTCTTGACGGTGGAGTGTTGAAAGGTCTCCGACACTACCACTGAGAGGGAAGCAGACGCGCTGGAGGAAGGAGAAGGTGGCTCCGGTGTGAAGTACTGGTCCGCAGCCGACATCGTATCCACTGGAACACACAAACACATGCAGGCGTCGAGGTAAACACAGGATAAGCTGCTGCTACTGCTGCTGAGAAGCAATTCCGACCCGCCCAATGATAAGCTGTTAAAATTTGCGGGAATCATGCGAGTGCATTCATGCGAGAAGGCGGAGGAGCATGCATAAACAACACCGACGCGGACGACGCAGGTTTGGAAGCCGAAACCGACGACGAACCTTGGTCTACTAGGCTACAGAAGCTGGAAGAAGCCACCGAAGCCGTCTCAGAGGCCCTCGCAGCGGGTAGAGAAGAGGAGAGAGGCAGTACAGTCGCTGTTGTGGATGCAGACACCGACGAACCGCCCTGTGTTGTTGCAGCCCGACGCCTTGTCGAATGGTGGTATTGCTGCTGAACTCCGGGTGTGTGCTGTTGTTGTTGCTGTTGCTTCACCTTAGAAATTGTGAGGGACGACGTCGAAGAAGTTGAGGCTGAAGACCCAGCCTCATCTCTTGACGTGACAGTCGTTGTCAACGATGTAGTCTTTTTCTTGGATTCAGGGTCGAGAAATGTGGCAGAAGCAGTAGAAATTGGCTTGGCAGGGCCTTCTAGTACAACCAAAAGGCTTCAACTTCTAGTGGTACACAACTAACATTCTCGACCATGACAAACCAACAGATGTCATTCTCGTATGCAAGTCAATGCACGATTTCTGCTTCAGCATGCGTGCCGCCAGTTAAGATGGCCGGCATGCATAAAACTGTCGTTGAGCGAAGAGAATTATAGTGAAGGCGCAAGACCCGAATAAAGTCATCAATTACACAATGTTGCCCTGCTGCACCAAACCGCAGATGAAGTGAATCAGACTAACTCAGTTCCCCAACTGTTGTCAAAACCTGCATACTGACGACTTTACTTTCCAACAAATAGATATACAAATTTGAGGAACAGCGCAAAATGGTAATGCCATCGAGCCTCTCAGCTCGACATAAACGCTGCTCATAAAAAAGAGGAAATAGCAAACATACCCGAATTCTTTTTGCCGTTGGGCACAGCAGATGATGATTTGGGGCTGTCAGAGGACTTGAGAGAGAGGGAGTGCATTTCAGTAACTGGGACCGCTGCTGATTCGACGACTTTGTTGGTGCTCTCGGCGACGGGAGAGGTTGCAGCAGAAGTCACTGAGACTGCCCCTGAAGCAACGGATGGAGGCGTGGGCGATGCAATTGACCGCGACGAGTATGTATGCCGCGGTCCTAACCCATGGAACACAAAATTCCGAAGGAAGTAAATTTTGTCCCCATTGCGGCAAAAACAGAAATGATAGTCAGAGCGACTAAAGTCTAGTCGGTTAGAGCTATGAACCAAGGTTGGCACCGCACTTACTCCGCTTAGACTGTAGTGTTATGTACTGAGACATCGGGAAACCTAAAAAAGTCAACATTTTCGGGAAAAGGAAGGTCGGTTAGTTCTTCTGTGAAAACGAGAGGGGGAAAAGCAACAAATTTGCAACAGCTTTATGTGCGAGCGTATACGCCCAGTAAACGAAAAGATAAGTAAAGACAGCAACGATAGCACTGAACCAGCTTCTAGCATAGCAATAAATTTGTGTACACAGTAAAGGAAATGGGAGGTTTTACGTGGAACATGAACACGGCCTCCAGAGAACAGAAAAGAATGACCAATTCTAGCATAATTCTGACAATTCCTAAACCGAACCACCCTTGAAGGGTCAACATGAAGCTGGAGTAGACTTTGGTAGGGCGCCAAATGTGCTCACCCAAATTAACAGTCAAAGACAACAATTGTGTTGTTTAAAAATATAAGCAGTCAGAACCACATCAAGCAAGATGGAATGACGGTTTCCGCAGACCGCGTGAACATCCGCGATTACCGGTAGTGCATGAGTGGGTGAGAGAATCGACACCAGAATTCGTCAGTAATGGCTAATATTTTTATTGCAAAAAATATGTAATAGATTCCTTCCTCTCCAAAGATAGAAGACCGAAAAACAGCCGGTTGAAACCAATGTGACTAAAATTTAGCGACAAATTTAATTCAAGTGTAGAAAAGAGAACCAACCACTTATGTAGTTGATATGCGCTCGATTTCTATCTTGGGTTCCATCAAATAGGACCCATTGACCTCACCCTAAAGCAGGCTGACACGACCTTACCTAGAAGTTAAGTTGAATACTGACAGGCACAAGGCGTTTCCTTCGGTGCGCTAAAAACCGAGAAACCAAACCTCAAAGACGAGTCCTTAAAATGAGATCATAAAAAGCGGAAGTTAGCTTGCAAATTTCAAAGAAACTGCTCGTGAGATGAGAAATCAACGAGACCTAGCCCAGTCCTGTGCGTACTTGTTGCGTGAAAAGGCTTGCTTACAATGGGAATAACTTTGAGCACGCCATGTTAACATTACCAAAAGTATCATAGTAAGGAGGCTCACTAAGGACTCATAACAAAACCACACCACATACCACAAAACCTATTCGAATATTGTTCGCTTTAACCCAAAAGTGGTAGGAACTGCGACTACTACCAAAACAGTTATTAAAAAAGAAAGTCAAAAACGATAACTTTCAGTCCGAAAAGCCCAATGCAGAGTTAATTCACCGCTTCAAAGTAAATGAAGTTATCAATTCTCGGAAGACCGTGCATTGATCCAAAATACATTCATAAAGAACAACCATAGTAGAAATGGCATTGTAAGTCTACAGAGAAACTACAATAAATTACCAATTTGTAAACCTAAACTAGGGCCCCAAAAGTACTAGCATAAGTGTTGGAAGAGACGAACAAACATCTCGCACAAACCCGCACGCATAACGTGGCATCAAAATATCCTAAACACACGCATGACGAGGAACGAGGAGACAACATGGCCCTTCAAAAATAGACAAGTCCCTCCGACTTTAAAAACAGACTCAAGACTAGCCCAAACAGCAAAATTTGGATAGACAAAAAATCAGAAGAATACGGCGTGTGAATGCGATCCTCAGACTGAATATGCAAGAACGAGACCTATCAGAAGGGCGACTGCTTCTACTACCGCGACAAATGGAATACAGAAACCCAATACCTAACCTTTAGATGAGATTTTAAAGACGGAGCTAGTAAAAAGCCACGAGCCTCCTCCACAGATGTACTCTGATCTTAGTTCAAGAGGCAACCTAATCATTAGTGACAGAGAACCCATCCTACTTCAATGACGCCATTAGCGACATACAGCTTTCCTCAACAATAGCAACGCGATAGCAAGTAGTTGGTAAGGTTGCACAGTTTAACAAAGTTAAGGAACCTGACAAATGAGGCCCAACACCTACAAGACGAAAAAGGGGAGCTTACATTTGGGTTAGAGCTGTACAGTGTCACCAGCGAAACGCGCACTATCAGATACATATATGCACCCATAAGCGGTGAGAAAATTGCTTCTCTGAGGGTCCTATCAACGCCTGGACATCCCGAAATTACCTGTGGAACGGTTCAAAGTGTTGTTGGGCGAGTTCTGCCGATTTGTTAGCGTCCCGCGTTGCCATGGTTGGTTGCCTAGAGAAGATGACGACCAAAACCGGCGTATTTCGCCAGGAATGAAAAGACCTAGTGTAGAAGAAAAATGCCTACCTTGCAATAAAGGAGAGGGAGCATGACCACCACGATGATTGTGGTGTCGTCTAAGAGATCCTGTATTAGAGTGATCACCATTTTCGGAATACTTGCGCCCATTTCCGCCGTTGCTGATGGACCAACTATTTCCAGAGGAATTTTGGTGATTGTAGCGGTTGTGTTGTCCTCTGTGTGGCGAATTCATATGCCCTCCAACCCGTGGAGAAGTTGGTACTAGCTGTTGATGCTGTTGGTGTTGATGTCCAGTATGCACCATTGGCTCATTATCAGGAAGATCTTCGGGATGAGTGCTGTAGTAGTGTTCAGAAAACTTGTCCCACTCTATGGAAGGAAAGAACAGCGTAAGTTAGATTGGTAAAATGAAAAACAACAGTGGCAAATGCCTACCCTTTATCATAAAATCAATGAGATTTTTCGAATACGGGGGACCGTGAATGGGTGGAGAGCATCTACGATTAGGACCCGAGTGATGTCCTCCAAAATGATTGTGTCCACCATAGTATCCCCCGTCACCGCGACATCGCCCACGTGAAAAATAAGGACGATGATTCTGATGGTGCTGAACATGTGGAATGGGATGGTGATTAGTTGCAACGACAGGGGAAGTGGGACTGCCGGGACCGGCATTATGAGCTGGACTAACAGTCCTCTGGCCAGATGTCGTCGAATCGGGAGTACCACTTCTCTTCCCCGGGAAAGAATTTGTTTTCAACATTCTACATAAACACGCAATCAGAACACCACCACTTTAAGTAATGTGAAAACACAAGAGTTTATACAATTTCATTAAATTGAACATTATTTGCCTTGATGTGGGATCCCGATTAGTTCGATTGGGAACATTGGTCATCCTATGTAACAAAAGTTATTTCCAGATAATCCTACGCGAACAGAAAGTGTGAACAGATGAGACTGGAAGCGACCTAAATAATGCGGGACTAATTATTTTCGACTATTATAAACAAAATTTACAAGGCTAGTAGTAAAATTTTTGAAAAGAACGTCATTTGATTTAAAAAACCCAATTGCAATAAAAGTGTACTACCATCATTGTTTTTATAATCCTGGTATGAGCATTAGAAAGGCAGTACTTTTGGAGAAATTCAAATTCACTTTTATAAGTGCCGAAATTGTTTTACCACATCAAAGGACTATCTAGAGGATATCTTTTGGTGGTCTTTTTCGTTTTCGTTAATGAGTATGAACTTTTTAATAACGTTGTGGCATATGAATTTAAACAGTGCTTTTCGATTTTGTGCATTAGTTGATGTAATACTTTGTCCACGTAACCGCCTGCATGTCTGACGACTACTTACTTGGATCGTAGAACTCCATGATTTCCTGTTTGTAGTAAAAGGAATGAGGCTTTGTCAATAAAACAAAGTATTGCAGAATTTTTTTATGACGTTCAGTATGTGGTTATGCCTTTGCTGATTATACGTTTCTGACAGAGAGACGAAAGTGAAAATCCCCTGTCTCAAGTGTGCCCGATTTCGATTGCTTAGGCCAAATTAACCTTTAGCGTTTCACAGCCTATCACCTGTTAAGTTAAAGCCACGACGCTTCAGTTGACCATCCTCCATCTTCTGCCCTCACGCAGTGATGTGATCTTTATAAGCCAGTAACTCCAATCCTCGAATTTACATTTTTTTGTAATGGTATCTTAATGCAATGTTGTTAAGGCCCTAGACAGTTTCAACCTCTTTGGAAACTATACTGAAGAGACGCACAATGGGTTCGCTATCTTAAATGCCCACTGTCAGTTTTAAGAACGCTGACTGGTACAAATTACTCAACGAAAGTCTGAACCTTTATGTGTATGTGGGATAATGATTCATTCCCATCTTTTCAACCGCCCTTTTTACACTTTGGCGTTGCTTTGCAAATTCAATACGAATTCTGTCATTTGTGGAAACTTTTCCGAATTAATACTGCTCAGAATCACATTAGCATCCATGTCCTACGCGCTACTCCTGACCAATTAAGGTGCGACATTACTTCTGAGAAATCTGCATAGAAGCTCTTCTATCTCAAGTTCGCATTCCGAGCCTCTCCTGGATTAATAGTACTGCGGCAGAAAGTGCATTGCTGGTGGCGGAGGTTAAAGTCCCATTTTCATTTCCACACAAACTTATTAGTAGTATTAGCAGTGGTAGTAGTATTGGGCCACAAATAAGTTGTTCGGCTAACTAGCAGCCTTCCTAAGGCTGTCACCTCCGTAATTGTTTCAAGCAACCTAGTCTTCAGGTCATTCCGGTGGACTATAGACCCTAATAGAGAGCAGCAATTCTAAATCTGCACCACATTTGGCTTCTTAAGCGTTTTGGATTGATGCAGCCGGATAAAAAGGTTAAAAGATAGTAAACGCGGAGTGTCTTGAAGTGACTCGACCAAACAAAGCACCAAAAAACTTTAATCAAGTAGATGAATGCGTTCCTTTCTCTTTCACCCAATTCCATGCACAAGAAGGTGTTAGGGAGGTAAGTGATGCTTAGCGAAAGTGGACCCTACTTCACCCTTAACGCCGTCCAATCCAACTTAATTATTGGTGATCATGCATAACTTTGGGCGTGAAAAACTCCAAGTCTTCTAGCTATTATTTAATTCATCTATTTTTACATCCTTTTTCAAGAATATAGCATCAGAAAGGCTGCTTTTTGAGGAAAGATAACCTATGCTTTCCGGTGGGTGTCAGTGAACTAGCCAAGTTGGCTGAGATGGGGGGATACTTGCAGACGAGGGATGGTAGGAAATAAAGTCTGCTTTGTTGCTTTTTTTGTTGATCGAAAAGACCAGAAATAAATTCTTGGCCTTGCGGACTCATATAAAATAAGCAGATGGAGAGAAGCCATCGTAACTTGCAGAGCGAAATGATGTTCGCTTATAGCGAAAGAAAGAGTGGATTAAGAGGACGAGAAAGGAAGGAAAGAAGACGTTTTTGGAAGCCGGGTGTATCTACTCTGATGTCATCAGCTTCTTGAACTCTAAAATGGGCAAAGTATTAGTGATGTGCCGTAATTTTGATTAGTAGCCCAAGTATTTTGATGCCATTACTCACCGTCAAAGTCTACGAAGCCCGAACCGTCACGGTCTGTGTCGCGAATCATCTCGTCGATCTCTTCTTCGGTCAAGTCGTCACCCAGCTCTTTGAGGATCCATCGTAGGTCGTCTACATCGATTTCACCTCTGCGATTCTTGTCTAGAACACGGAACGCCTGCCTCAGGTCTTCCTCGTCCTGCTCATTCTGGAGGATTTTCCCGTACACCAAGAGAAATCCACTCAGATCGATGAAACCAGTGGCTAAAATGTCACCCCAAATTGCATCAAAAATGCTTTTTTTAATTCCTCGTTTTGAGTAAATACTGGTTAGTGCCATTTATGCCCCAAATACAAACTAACCGTCATCATCCACCTCATCAGCCCACTCTTTGAGGAGATCGGGCTTGATGGACACCTTGAGGGCGCTAAAAGCTGGACCAAGGTCATTGGTGCTGATTTTGTCCTGACCACGCTTGTCAAATTTCTTGAAGGTCTCAGTGGCAACTGAAATAAAGGGAGTAGGCCATTGATTTATTCAATTCAAAGGTCCTGTATACTTTAATTTTTCTCAATAGGGTCGGTGCTCTTGCATCGGCGCCCTGGCCAAACGCACACAAGTGCGCGTGACCAATCATCGCGTGGGTGCGTGCTTCCAAAGTGCAAGTGGGAGCCAATCAAATTTCGGAAAAGGAAAACACGGTCACGATTACAAAGCTATTGCCTCAGGGAAATATTGACCGACCAAATAGATGAAGCTGGTTACTCCTTCAGGCGTAGTACATTTTCGTGAATGGAAATGCAGATTCCTTGTTTTGAAAGGTCAAATAATAGCAGCGCCAGGATGATGGAAGTAAAGGTTGGCGAGTTTAGAAATGGGAACGTAATCGGTAAAATTAATAGTCACAAGTGTCGAAGAATGGGTTTACATACATGATAGAATGGAAAGGCATTAAAGACCTACCCCTAACTTGATCGTCGCTGATCTTGAAGCCCTCCATTTTCAGTAGCTAAAATTGAAAAGGAATAAAAAATTTGCCGTCCTAAAGAGCAACGAGGTTTTCAAATTCATCGTAATTAAAAAAAATGTAATTAGGTAACGACTAATCAAATGTGAGAAATTGTTCGATGTTTTCTTTCGCATTACTCGCTCCAGATTGTTTTCTTCACCTAACTGACAAAATCGGATGGCATCAGCCATCATTTTAATACAAAGTATACAAAAGTTGATGGAAAATAAAGACACTTATGTCAAACATACTAAATGGCGAAGTACTTAAGTTCAGTATTCCAGCTTAAGCTGCCTTTTAGTAAATACACGATGTGTGGATTAGGTCCTTGATGTTTGTCTGAGTCAGTTAAGACTTTGAGACTTGCGTCCAGACGATAGGACTCATGCTTACAGTCCACTGCTTTCAAAGAGTAATGGTGGACTTAATTTTCGAAGGAAAATGTGGAGAGTGGAGAGGCGAAAGTGGGAGGAATGTAAGGAACGAGGAGTTCATGCACTCACCACTCTGTTGAGGTAGAGTTTGCGTCCGTGTAAGATGTGTCGGATGCTATTGCAGCCGGTAGTGTCGCTGTACCTCCAATGCCGATGTTGGCGTCGAAGCAGGGGACTGAGCGCGTGGACAGACAGGCGCAACCGTCGCACACGCAAGCCCCCCCCACCCGGGTTGCCACGGTAACAGTGCGTAGGTTGGTCTGCGGGTCGATGGGTTGATAGCACGCTGGTGCGCATTGGTCGGTAGCTGAAGACCTCTATGTCCACCCGAAAGGCCTCGTCATTGGTGCGTGTGCCTTGCTTGCTACGGTGAAAGGCCGTGGCGGTGGTTGGAGGCACATACGCGCTTCCCTTCCAAGGTTCCATGGCAGTCGCGATTGGTGAAGTGAATATAGTTGGGTGGGGCATGGAGCCGGGATGGTCTGTACGAAGAGAGGTGCAAACGCATATTGGCATCTTGGATCATTGGTGCTAAGGAGATAGGACTTGAGATTGGCAAAGAAAGAGATTTTGCTCTGTTATTTCTTTAACGGGGAATAGCGGAGTAGGTTCTAGAAAGGGGACTTATTGTAAAAAGATAACGCTAGAAATCTATAATCTTTCAGTTCACATTCAAATTAACAGGAGTATGGGTTAAATCGCTCATGATCATTACTTTAGCTACAGCACGATTTCATTTTCTCCTTATTGACTTAAAGCTGTAAAGGTAAAAGACGTGGCTTCACCTTACTAAATAACTCGGATTAAGATGTATTTATTTGGGCATCATCGTTGAGGCAGTCAGGTAATCTAGGCGGGCAAATTTAGAAATCACCCACAATTGCTTTTGGGAAACACCTGAATGCTTCATTACGGCCTCTGTTTTCGAAGCGGTTCCAGTATCACAAGACCAAATTAAAAGATGGAATCGTAGTAATAACTAAAAATCCTTGGATCCACGGTAGGATCCACAAATCTCTAGCTCTGCCGACCTTCAGTCAACAATCTGGTAATCTAAGCACCAATGTGTTGCTGTGTCGTGCTTTTTTTTCAAATCTGACCATTTATTAAAAACAATTGCATTGAATTCTTTAACAACTATAGCAACCATTCAGCATTTCGCAAATTCGATTTCATTGCTAGACGGCAAAAACATTACAACGCTTACTTGTTATGTATAAGTAAACACACTAATAATTGAAAATTGTTACCTTCAGAGTCGCGTTTCATTTTTGGGCCCATGTTAACCGATCCCCGAATAAAACTAGCAAAGCGTTTGGTTTTATGGCCTCATCATAGCATTTTTGGTTTACTTCAAGGCTGTAGTACTTCAGAGGTGCAGGGGAGTCCGAATCCGCCCATAATACTCGATATGATTTTGCTCCCTCAATATACTGGCTTAAGACGATCGTTTGGAGACCAACTAATTCTTCTTAAAAAGTTTATTTGCAAAGCTTTTTAGAACTTAGGATGCGAGCTTCCCACTAGGCACCATGGAGTTTTATTGGGCTATAAGAACCCACTTACGTTGTCTTCTCAGTGTTGGCATTGACATGAGATTCTTTTTTAAAAAAGTTACCTTCACGACTTAATACATTTTATTTAAGGTGAGAAAGAATGCAGTCTAAGTTTTCCACTGTTCTAAGCATAGTAAAAGGGGAAATTCCCGTAAAATGCTGTTTGTGGTGCCCTCTTAAAGCATTTATGCATGTGGAATTTTTTTCCTCTCTGCATTGGATGGAAAAATTTGCAAACATTGCTACCAACGCACTAAAGTTCTGACATTTTAGCTGTTTCTGCTTTCTTGTCTTGGTGCCCATACATGGAAGCGCATTCCCGCTCTGTTGTCTATTCAACGTAAACGACTCCTTTCATACCAGAAAAGCTGAGAGGTAATACGTCAAAGGCTATTGCAGAAGATTCCTCCTGATCTAATCTGTCTCTCAGTCAAGGTAGACTTAGCTGTTCAGTAAACATATCCACAGCTGGCGATCCGAGATTATACAGCTACCAAGGTCAGAATGGAGAGCTTGCTGCCGTTTCATGGGTACTTTGTTCCCTTAACTCTGCTTTGGAGATGTCCGTTTCGATGAAAAACCAGGGAGGTTAGCGCAAATTTTGTTAGCTCGCTCCAGTCAGCGGTAATTAGACTTGAGGGATCTCGGCTATCGCATCGGAGCCGTAGTAAGGCGAGCCCTTTAAAACATCGGAGCGCAAAATCGCCATCTATTATTGCAGGCACGAGAGGTAAGTATTTCAACTACAATGTAGCTTTGTGAAAATAGTAAAGAAATTCAGCGTCGTGTAAGGCGAACTTTGCGGTCCAGTGATTGCAGTGCTAAGATGAAAACAAGCCTTTGTTCCAGTTGCCACCAAATCAGCAACCGATTGAAAGAATTTTGGACCGCACAGATGCACTTCCAGAAAGGGGAGTATTCAAATCCCAACTAAGTCTGGATTTTTCGAGCATAAAAATAATATTTTAGGGGACGAAACCATGTTTGCTTACAACTAATGACAGTGCAAAGCACATAAAACACATTTAAAAACAATCCTCATTAATTTAGTAGGTAACACTTTGTAAAGTAAAAAGGTTAAAAAAATTGTTCAGTTAAAACTACCATGAAAACTTACGTCGATTAAAAGGTAAATTCCCGGGGAGTACCTTGTTTAAATTCCCTAAGAAGGAGCATCTTCAGAGGGCTAATGTCAGCAAAAGTAGTTCTACCTAAACACTAATAATAACAAGTTAACGAGTTCTCTACTCGAGCATCATAATCCGTCTGGTGAAATGCCATGATTGTCCCGTACAAGGAAAAGTTACTTACAACGAGGAGAGATCGGAGCGAAAAAAGCGGCGTTTGCACGTGTCGAATGGACCCAACTCCCTCTACCCATCTTGTTGCGACGACACTGGGCACCGAATTAGTTGCCAACTTTAAGGACAATTTCTTACTTGCACGTCCTTTCCTTTTTATTTCCAAGTGGCCAATCACGTTTTCACAATTTGCTCGCTAAGACCTTGAGATGCAACATAAGTGGGGATTGTCTGGAGGTTCATTTGGAAGAGGAAGTGGGTTAAAAGCACGACGAGAAATCAGTAACATTTATATAAAGTAGCACAAGCATACTCGGATCCTGACTGTTTTGAAAAAGGGGATGTGGCTAAATTCATTGTGTAATTTTCCTTTTTTTCATGGACCAGTAATGTGTCACCTTGATTGACTGGAGGCGAAATTCAAACACTGAAAATTTTAGTCGCATCTACTAGGTAATCACATTGTGCCCTTTAATGTGACTATCTGCCAGTCACACACGCCGGTCGGAACTGCAGGTCAGATGGCAAGTGACATTCCACCGCTTTGACAGTACTTGCCAATCACTGATTGCTTCAACTGTCGTTAGTGATGTTTCCATTGGATTAAAACGAAAATGAGGGAGTAATTCTGCAAAATCACCACCATCAGAGAATTTCAAAGCATTTCGGACTTTTGTTTTCAATGACCTTATGAATGCAAAGACTCTAAAATAATATGAGCAACTAAATGTGCAAAAAATCCGATGTTAAATGTCTGTTTTAGATCGAAAAATGGACCAATAATAACTTTATGACCTCAAAACCTCGGGTCATTATTTGCATTCGTACTTTCGTCAAGATATGGAAGCAGCAGTGAAATGTGCTTCACTAGTCTCAGCTTATCTGACTCCTGATTGGTGGAGAACAGCAACAGAAAAGCCAATCAAAGTCAAATGCGTCTCTCCTCACAAACCTGCTCAGTCTCAGAGACCTGAATAGGAATAGAGTGCCAGAGTTCATGTGCTTTGTCCTTCTAAATGAAGATGAGCACCATCTGACGCTGTTTTTACCTTATGCAATCTATTTTGAGACAAATTCGTAACCACCAATTACCTGATTATAAGGTCATTACCAATAGGTTAGGGGTTTCAATGTTATGCCGAAGGAAGTCAGAAATTCGCTGAAATAAACGCTTGGTAGAACCTAGCGTTTAAGTGAACCATGTACTGCAAAGACCTCTAAATCTAGTGTCCGCAACAACGGGGATGCAACTGTGAATGCCTTTCAAATGGGTTAAGTCAATTGTGCTTGTCCTGTACCTCATCGACCACCCACGACATTTATCCAAATCTACACATAAATCTTACTTCCTTTGGACCAAAAAAAGAGGTAATGAATCGATTTCCTTAAGTCTTTTTTGCCTTTACTCCGCAAACATAACCCTTTTGTAAAAGAACTAAGGGAAAGTGGGCGCTTTTGAAGTGATTTGCTAAACCACACTGGCAGCATTCCATTGTATATAGCGTTCAACTTTGTTGGTTTATGAAATGTTGACGGTCTGATATAGAGTGGACAGGACAAGCAAATTTCCTTTCGAGTGCATTTAACGTGATTTAAAACAACCGTCTATAGACTTTGACATTGCCTTATCTGCATCTAAAAAGGTGGACCCAAAACACCCCTTTGGATATCTCCTTGGGCAGCTATTAGCTGAAAATGCAGCCACGCAATTTGCGAAGCAGAGAGCAAAGAAAAAGGGATAAGTGTACACAACCTCTAATTAGCACACAACGGATGGTGATGAACAGCGACAGAAAAACTATTTTTTCTTTAGCTAAGATGGGAAATCGGTTGCCGAAACGAAAATTTTGTTTAATTTTCCGATATATTTTGCATCAACGTTTGGAGACATTCAACCTACAAGTAGAATACTTCCCATGCCGTTTATAGGCAGCCCTATGGACAGCGAATGCAAAAGGTTTGCTTCAAAGCAGTTGGTGCATAAACTGACTGAAGTTCAAGCTTTCGTCCTCGGGCGGTTTTTTTCGACTCACATTCTTTAATGTGTCAAGCGGGCGGTTTTCTTTCCACCTAGACGTGGCACGGCCCTCACCAAGATTCATGGAGGATGTCAGCATCAAGTTTTTTATCACAACACCTTGACGATTTGCATAATTCCCTCCTTCCCTCCAAATGCTGCCTGAATTTGAAACGCCCATTTCCGACCAGGCTTTCTGTTCTGACAGCGTTAAAATGAAGGCAAAAGGGAAGGAGAGGTGAAAGCTATGTCGCATTTGGCTAAAACATTATGAATAAACCTGGTGTAGATTTGTATTGTTGGTGAGAGGAATAATATTTGTTACTAAAATTAAGGAAATATCGACGTCATGAGGACTGGCACTTCAAACCGAGATGGTGCAATAAGCCGCCGTGAACATTTGCTGTCACAGTGCCACAAGAGCTGTGCTTTCATAAGGCGTGCATGTATGAAGACGGAACTCCTTTCTAATCTGCATTGCGAACACAGAAATAATGAAGCGAGGCCGATGTAACAAGGGAAGCGTCGCGGGTCACCACTCTTCTTTAGAACGATAAAATGGCTGAAATGTGGAGTTTTTTTGTCACAAAAATAACTAGATTATCATCCGCAACTCACTGAAGTTATTTAACTTTGCCGTACTAAATAACGTGGCACCTTCAAATGGTTGAACAAAAATTATAATCCATATTTATAGTGGCGATAACAATGCCTTTTACAAAATGATGAAGCGGAGTTACCTGAACCGAAGAGACACGCGCCAGACGCCTCCGAAAGTTCGTTGAATGTGTTCACGAATTGTGGCATTGAGTGAAGCTCGTCAGTTTTTAGTCCACCCCAAGGGTAAGTAGCTTTGAACAGCGAACGTTTGTTCGCTCTTCGTTGGTATGCCCGTGTGTGTGCCTGTTGATGCTGTGGGTGTCAGGGTAACCCCGAGCCGTCAAGCTCCGACCAATGAGCTGCACTTGTGAAATTGTGCATCCTGCATGTGGGCCATGCCTATGCCAAGGGCCAACCATCCGGCTGGCGTGCGATGGTACAGTGAGGGTTTCCTCTATGGGCACAGCTTTGGAAAAGGACAAATCAACATCCCCGGTTGCGAGTCCTGTTGAGCTCAACGAAATTCCGCTTTTACGGTGGTCATTTTGCCGTGTGCAGTCCGTGTGCCTAATGGCAACAGTTGGTATGTTGCTCTGATCTCAATGCACAGCAAAGCCTCCGAAGATTTTCTGATACAAATAATTACCGCATTAAAAGTGATTAGTTTTGGTTAACTTTAGAGGTTTCAAGGGCTGTTGTGCTGCATAGCAGCAAAGAGACCTGTTATTTTGACTTTTTTAGTCAATATACGTACAAAATATAAATCGTACACCTAAGAATGTCACGCTAATTTCGTCAGCAGTTGAAGCATCGTAAATATAGCAAACTCAACAAATAATGGGTTCAAAAAGGGGAATGATCATTCATGGTTTTTTTTGTCGCGCGGAATGAGTTGTTAAAAAATGGCAGCCACATTATAAGCATCCGCTTTTCTTAACTGTTACTGGTAACTAAAAAGGACAAATGACGAAAAATGGCCGTATTTAAGAATGAAAATCTGCGTCATTTGGTGCATGGTCTCTGCATTTACAAAATGAAATCTTAAACAGGGAAAATTTGAGCTTAACTTCGTTCTTCTGCTAATTTTCTATGATGGCTTTTACGAATTCTGGTGCCCATCACTGCTACTTGCTTAAATTAGGTAGCACGTTTTGGTAAAAGGTTTAAGTCCGACATTTAAGCCGGCACGTTTTAAAATGAGTAGAGACGAGATGGATAAGTTTAAACCTGTGTGATTTGTTTAAATTTTGCCACATTCACTAAGTTCGTACTGGTGTCATACAAACGCCGACAGCTTCATTATCCCTTAAAGTTTCCCTGATTTGAAAAAGGACGGTAAATAATTCACCTTTATGTCGTTTTCGAAAAAACTTGACGATATTGCGATTTGCCAAAGACTTGATTTGTTTAAGGTAGCGCCATCATTCAATATCAAAGGGCATTGTATGAAGATTCATTCGTAGTGCTATAAATCACAGAAAAATTTTTCGCCTCTCTAAAATATGAAGTTGACCTATATTCCATCACCAGCTAGGAGTAGATAGAAGCAAGTAAATAAATTTGCTCTTTCCCCTTATCCTAATTTTTTTAACAAGTAGTAGCATACATTTCAAATCGTCCATTGCTATATCCCGTAGGAATGGGACGTTCTGCTCACTGCTTCAACAATCCTGGCGGATTCCTATGGTTAAGTTTTTCTTGTCCACTTCCGACAAACTCCCTTCAGAGAGAACCTAAATGGCTGAGGTATTTAACTTCCGACAAAGGAATTTACGAGAGTTAACTCTCCTGCAAGTCAGCACAATCTAAGGTAGCGTAGTGCTGTAGGGTTTCAATAACGCACTCTAGAGGAGCATAACGTGGGTTACGGGAGGTTAGTGGAGCATAGGAACGAGTTCTCCCTGTAAAAGCTGCAAGGCCTAAGCTGAATCCCACCTCAGGCCAATTTTCAAATAGGCCAAAGTGCCACCCATTGTTGAGGCAAAGAGTGCAACGCCAAAGCCTTTAGCTCGATTCTGCACTTCCCATGAAGTTATGTAGAAGCAAGAACGTTGGTTTATTTTGCATCCCAAGTGACGCAGTAGCCTCAGTGTTCTCAGTTCTGACCAAAAAGTGGGCGTTCTTTTTTTCAAAATCAGTCTACACAAACTTTTGGGTAAACCATCACCAAAGTTCAAATACTTAGAGGGACCCTTAATAAAGTGTACCGGATCTACTTTGCGTCTCGTTTTAAGTCGATTCACCCTCCTAGATGGGGTAAAATTTTCCGTAGCTTTGTGGGCTAGAGTAAGCTAGTTTGAATAGTCGATAATGTGGCATCAACCCATTTTCAACTAACACCAAATAAGCGAAGACGGTTTGAGGCACAGCGCACAATACAAAAACTACTGTTTACCAATATGAGTCCGCTTAAGTCTTCTCTTTAAAACATCCGAGTACTCCACGTCATGAAGTAATCTCGCTTGCCCCTATGCTCACTGAACATATGAGGACTGTCCCATTCGAGAAAAATTAAATAAACATGTCAGCGTGGTTCAGCGTATGGTACCGAAGTGAATGATGCACTGATATACTCGGTTTATTGCATCTCCATTATGGAGCTTTTGTGATTTTAACAAGATGGGTACTTCAGTAATAATGTGATGGGACTTGTTAATGCAGCTTCCCTCATTTCGATAGTCTCATCACCCTAGATTGGCTGCATGATATGGAACTATGATTTCGTGAGAGAATATGTGCACTTTACCGTTTTTGTGCACTTGCTGATTGTAAATTTGTTTCGTCGCCAAAAGCCATATCAGAAACATGAGCCCCTAACCTCAACTTGGTTAACGTTGTTTAGCATGGACGTGCTCAAAACAGCCCTCTAATTGGCGTTGTATAAACCCTCACGTCCTGACCGTAAGTGGGATGCCTTTGTATGATCTCGTCTTATAGGCGTTCGAGTAATTATAACAAAGACTAAACCTACTAATCCATGCCAGTGCGCACACAAGCACAAATATACAGTGGACCTAAAACTTTCTGACTCCTTGAGGTCACTGCTCTGAGTGGCCAAACAGCACTTGAAACTCAGGTGAGGGCCTGACATTAATGACCGTGTGAGTGGTCGTTTTACTCAACATATTGCAAGCTTATATGAAGGCCGTGACCATCTTGTTGCCGCAATCAGACGAACAATATCATCAAACGGTAGATTTCGCCAACGCACTCCCTCAATGTCGAATTGTGAACCATAGCTATAAAGGCAACTAATGGATAAAGGCATTACAGAATCATTTTGACACAGTGACATTACAAATTTCGAAGCGCGATTGCATAAACTTTATTTCTTAAATAAAGTAAGTTGAATCTCTGTCTTGAGGATTTTAGACACCAGTCTCTGATGTCGTACATTTATTCGAGATGCACAAGGAGCTTTACCCAGCTCTTAGCTAGAAGGTTTATTTGATCGAAGAAATTTTGACTAAACCAAATTGCTTTCAAAAATTTTACCTATTGCTAAGAAACTCTAGTTTTTAACAAGATTGTGGAATGGCAGCTACCTAAATGGGCTGTTGTTTTAATAATGTGGATCGTTAGGTTCGTTCCCAATGTCCTGATCAATGCTGCGCCTCGAAATAAAGAAGCACTTTTTAATTACTGCGCCACGTGCCTTTAGTGCGACTTAGGTGATCGGATTCACTTGCATCTGATTTGTTGATAGGTATGACCAATTGTAGAGCTGTATGTCATTCGTCACGCGGTAATTGGTTCCCAAAGGTAGAACCAACCATTGAGCTCCGAGGTAAACATAAGGCCCCGAGTGCACTAGCGCCACATTTAGCTCGCGTGCGGCTCGGTAGCGGCGGTGTGCATCTCGGCGCGGTTCTCGACTGAGTCCTTGGCGTCTTTTACCTCTCCAGGCTTTCCCTTTTCAATTCTCGTCCTTACATTCCTAACCAAGAGCCATGGGAGCTCTTATGACAAAGCCTCGCAGCGGTGATAATCCACCAAAGAAGATTCGTACACGAACGTACAGTGGAAGTAGTCTGAACAAGAAGCCCAACCTCTTTAAGTCTTTATCCAAGCGCAAGGATGAAACGGTGAGGAAATCGGCCACTCTCCAGCCAACCAGAACCGGAGATAACCTTCAAGTTCCCCCCGAAGCCGTTACAGAACCAATTTTGGCTGCTCCAGTCTCTTGTGAAATAAAGTCATCCTCTGTTGCCCTTAATTCCCAGCTTCCCAAAGGTGCAGATGAAGTAGTGACTCAAGAATCTACAGCTCTGACGGAGGAGGCAATTTCTAAGGCAACTGACTCCATTTTGAAGGAAGGAGAGGCGGAACCATCTGTCACTATGGGGAAACATCATACAGGATCTGAGGAGCAGACCGTGGTCGAAGATGCTGATGGCATTGCGCAGAAAGTCGCAGAGGAGGTGATTAAGGGTTCTGTCGAGGACATCATGGAGGCGACGGAGGATGGAGGGGAATTCTCTCCAAAACACCCAGCGGAACCAGATTTACAGTTGAGTGAATGTCAATGCGGAGTTGAACCTGATGAACCAAAGCCTGAACCTATTAATGAGGTAGTTCATGACTATCAGGAATCCGAGATCGCCGAAATTTTGGTGAACGAGGCTCTTAATGCTGGGGTGGAAGCTGAGATTGAGTCAAAGCAGGCTCCTTCTCCAATAGCCATAGAAAATCCTCTTCCAGAACCCATAGACGATGAACAACCAGGATCAAACGTTGAGGAACAGCGTCCACTCTCCTCGGATCAGAGCTCTGATTACGTGGAAGCTTTACAACAGAGCCAGTCGGTTAGCGAAGCCTTTGCAGACCCCAACGAAATAACCGACGGAACAAAGAATGTGGAGGTTGCATGTCTCAATGAAGAGTCGAAGAATGATGACTTAAAAGGGGCTCTTTTAAATGAAGATCTCGAGGCTGATGCCAAAACTGAGGCGATCACTCAAGAAGAGACTGGTGCCCCGATCAGCAACGGTGTTTCAAATGGTCATGACGAGGTTTTGCATGGAGACGAGATGAGTACTGACGAGAACGGCTGTTTGGAAGAGGTTCCTGAATCAGATCCGATTGCTATTTTGAAGACCTCCATCGGCGAAGATGTTGAGCATAACGATTCGACAACAGTTCACGAATGAAGAGCAATCAAGACGGCGAGTTCTGTTTTGGAACTGGTCACTCACTAATCCTTCCTTATCCCAAGCTTTTGTTTCGTTCTGTCAATTTCTCCCTCATTTTCTTTTTCATTTTTTTCATTCGACCGCCGTCACTTCGAAGCATGCAAAACAATCTACAGAGTTTGGCCTATGCTGTTTCCATTTTTTGGACAATTGTAGCAGCTATTTAATTTTGTATTAACTAACAAAATACTGAACTTTCAAATATGAACAGCCTTCCCCGTCTCCTCCCTCTCTTCCTCTTCTCCCCATCTCCCCCCTATACATACAGGCCTTATTGTGTAAACATTTATTTCTGTCAAAATTAAATCCCCCTTATTGTGTATCCCCCTTGTTTTATTATTTTCTTTCGTTAAGGTGTGGTCCTCTCTGTCGTAGGATTTCGTCCTCATAAGAACGGCCTTCAAAGTTGAAGCGAATCCGTCATCTGATTGGAACACGTGGGGCGATCGATGTCTCCCATCGACCTTGGGGTTTACCAATGGTAGTCAAATGAGTTTGATTTGGAGCATATGTAGAGCGTTTTATTGCCTCCGTGACCTCCCTCGAGTTCCCACTACCCTTGTTATCACATGGCGTGCCAAGCTGCCAATTAAGTAATCCGAACACATTCGTTTATTCCTGAAATTGGAAGGGAGGGTGTTCTATGAGTGTACTGAAGGTTATCAGTCCTGGCAGATGTAGAACATTGGTGATGGGTAGAAACTTGAGCCACATTGACCATTAACTCCTGGATAGGGGAGGTTCTACTAAAAGGAAGTCAGCTACGGGCATTAGCTTCGTTGTAAGTGGTTTAACAAGTCTCTAAACAGGACGAGGAAGGAATAGCTGCGGGCCACCTGTAAGTCTGCGCACACAATGTGACCTCGTGAAGATTTGTGCAATTTTGAGAGTTCAATCGCGTAAACAATCATGATTTAACCGCCATTGTTTTGAAACAAAGGCATTTGTGGTAAAACTGACACGGTTCACATCGTGAGTCTTAACTAGACACGCTACGATGATAGATCGAGTTACACACTAGGCGGTAGAGAGAAGGCCGCATGTAGTCAAGGCTAAAGTCCGAAAGCTTAATCATTATGCCAACGGGTATCTCCTGTTTTTAACCCAAAGTGAAGCTGCATGGAGTCAATTTGAAGGGTGGCTTCTCACATCTGATTTGTTTTCATGGTTAGCTCTTTAAGAGGTAGAATTGCCCATTCCAAGGCATTGGAGTGATATTTACGACAAGGTTGATAGGTAAAGGTCTTGAGAAGTGTGTAGTCTAAGTAATGTCATGGAGGGTATGCCACAATGTACACACTGTTCATCTGAAGCTAATGCTGCGGTCAACTTAACTACCTCTTAGAGACTACTACTATTTCTGTTAAGCGATCCAATTACAGGTCTGTTGGATGATGGAGACTAGTGACAAGGTGGAAGTCACTCATCGCGTACCTTTGAAAGGCTAGTTGACAACACCCGTCCCTATCCATTGAACCTTAAAATAATGAATTCACAGCAGTCCACATCATTTGTCCTTTGCCTTTCTTCTGTTGTTGGTGGCTCGATTACCTTTCCCCGCTTCCTTTCCCTCTCTCTTTAATTCTCATTCACTTAGCACCGGAAAAAATCCATTTCCTACGAGTTCAAATGTGGATAGAAGTGTACTGGAGAAAAAATATGGCAGTGGTGACAGTGACTTGAATTCCACTATAGCTCATTTACGCTTACATGAAGGAAAGATCAGATGGCGCGAATAGAGACCGCATGTCTTTCTGCAGTTTAGTGTCAGGCACTTCGCTGACAATAGCTCGTCTGCGCAGACGATGGAGAACTGTTGTTTATCCTCTATCAGCAAAGTCTGCCAAAATTGAAACAAGAAAATGGTCTTAACGTAACATAAACGATTTAACGACTTGTCTTAACGATGTTAAAGGTGTAACCAATGTCTCGATTTGTTTCTTCGAAAAGTCACAGTTCGTTAACACGTCCGACGTTACCACTTACCTTTCGCAACAAGCGGGAGGCAAGAGTTACACATTGTTTACAGAACAGTTGGTAGAAAGAGTCATTAAGGTGCTGGAATGTCACCATTCCTCCTCCTCCTCCTTAGCCGCATTCGTACCGGCAACACGTTTATTCAGGGATCCGATGCTCGATTAATGGTTGCATTTTAGCGTTATTCCATGCGTTCTTCGCACTTCCTCTCTCTCTCTCCATCACCCACTCCCTCCCTATCCAGTCCTCAACCGCCAATTCGATTCCTTTCCGCCCACGCTCACACCACCACAGTCCCTCCCATTCACCAATCACTTCGGCACATATATGCTCTGCTCTCCTATAAGGCGCTCATGCACCACCCACTTCCCACATCCACTTCCCCTCGACGTGGTCACACCACCTTTGGTAGCTCTCCACCACTCGCAAATGCCAACAGCAGTCTCCGACTCACTGGCCAACTCAATGACACCAATGCTACCGACGCCACCAAATCCACTTGCAAGCACGAAGACTGAGCATTGACTGTTCGCAGTGGTACTGGCTTCATCTCCACCTCCCGCCTTGCATCCTTCACCTTCACCTCACCTCTCTCCCCTTGCCAAATCACAAACCCCGCTTTCA